CTGTACATGCGCATCCACACGTGGTATTTTGCGGAAGCCGTTGGGGGCAAGGGGCCAAAGAGCGGCATGTGGCTCGCCAGCCGCAGTTTGCCGACCACTGGGGTAGGGGAATCCTAGGCACTGAGGGAAGAGGCTGCCCCGTCTCTGGGGCAGTTGCAAGGACTGCAGCAGAGGGAGCAAGAGAAAGCCACTGGGATGACTAGGAAGGACAGCGGGACCCGCCTGTGGGGGTCCCTGGGAACCACTGAGGACGCTCTCTTCTTTCTGAATGTGATACAGAAGGTGAGTGTTCTGACAGCACCTGCAAGGGAATGTGTGGTCGTATGAGAAAGCCACTCCGAGACTCATCACGTTTGGGAAAACATCACTCACTGATATTACTTACATTTTAAATAATTATCTTCAGTTGATCACTGATAATATTGACAGTAGTCTTTTAGAAAGTTACTTTAGAAACAGTTATTTATATATTTATTTATGCTCTACCTTATTCTAAACATTAAATGTAAGCCGATAAGTTGAGCCACGTGTCACACAGGTGCGTTACTTACCTGGTAGGATCTTTCGTCTCAGAGAGGATCTCAAGAAGTTCATCGTTAGACAAGAAAAAGAACCTGGGGAAGAAGAGGCGCTTCTTTTCTAGATACTCGTTGAGTCCCTTGAGGATGAGTTCCAAAAGTTCATTAGACTTTTTCAGCCTCTCCAACATTCTATCAATAGTCACCACGGACAGAACATGTTTATCCTAAAGGGAAAGGGAAAAACTCTCAACTCAACAATACTAATTCTAACTTTATGTTCATATTATATTGGAGATAACATGTCTTTAATCAAACAAAGTTTATGCAAAATTTAAAGTAAATATTTATTTTTAAAAATTAGTCTTCTTTCTTTTAATTATGTAAAAGTCATGTTGACTTGATCCTCAGTGATGCTCACAATTTCTCATTCTAAATTGTGAGAGACAGAAAATGAGCAAGAGGGGGTGAGGGGGGGAGAGGGAGAAGGAGAGGGAGAGGGAGAGGAGGAACAGTGAACTCACAAGAAGGATGGGGAAATAAAATAGTATGAGATATGTTTGATATGTTTGTCTTTTATTCTTTGAGGTAAAGTACTCTAAAAAGATATCATCATTATAATTAATATTTTGAATATTATATATATATATATATATATATATGCCTAAGACACGCACTGACCACCAGGGGTCAGACACTCAACACAGGAGCAGAAACCATAGGTATGGAAACATGGATAAGGCTGATGAACCTCAGAGGGAAGCGGGGAGGTGGGAGGCTGGGAAGAGATTAACCAAAGATCTTCTATGCATACCAGAGGCCCGGTGCATGGATTCATGCACCAGTGGGGTCCCTCGGCCTGGCCTGCAGGGATTGGGCCCAATCCGCCTCTCTGACATCCCCCCGAGGGGTCCGGATTGCGAGGGGGCTCAGGCTGAGGGACCCCAGAGCATCTACAGTATGCTTTTGTTAATATATTTTGAATGTGGCTGAAAAGGAAAGATATATATTTTCTTGTTTTTGAATTATAACAATGCAACTTATAAATATAGTAATTTAATAAAAAATGAAAGAATTGTCATTAATACCTGTTTTCTCAATAAAAGAGATTCAGATGAAATATGAAACATATGATTGGCTTAACTTATCTTTAAAGAGATACAATTTTAAAAGGCATTTTTTATATTTTCTAACAGTTTCTTTCAAATATGCATTTTTAAAAGCACACAAAAATTAATATTTTGAATATTATTATCTATGTATATAAAAGCCTATTATCACTTAAATGTGCAGTTCACTCCATGCAGGATTGAATGTACTCTTGTACAAGTAAATCCCCAAACAAAATGCTGTTCTTAGAGCGCCACCTTCTGGAGAAGCACGCCTTTCTTTGTTGGAGGGGAAAACGGCTGAATGGTTGCTAATAAATGTGAAAAAAAATCCCTTTCACAAATTCACAGTATATGTTTTATTCTCGGCCAAAGAATGTATTGCAATGTTGCTATTTCGAACCTGAGATTTGAAAGCTAAAAGTCAGTTATTTAAAACGACAGTTCATATTTCTCCTCCTCGCCCCTACAGTCACAAAAGAAATACCTCTGGGAACACTTAGCTTGCAGGTAAGGTTTTCAGATTGAATTCCTCAGGTGCAAGCTACTGAACCAGATTAATTCAATGACTCTGAGCCAAATAGGCTAGTTCTAAGTGAACACAGGCAGTAACCTATGCACCCGGGCATCTGGACCTACACACATGAAAGTCATCACCCCATGACTGGAAACTAAGCCATCTTCGCTCCCTTCCCGTGAGCAGGTAAGCAATCAACACTGCATCCGAGCAGGAAAGCACAGACCTGGCTCCCAACCCGCACTCCTCCTTACAGCCTGAGCCGCCTGGGGTCCTCTGCTGGACCCGGGCCTCTGATTTCTCATCTTTAAAATGGGGATCAGAACTCTCGCTAAAAGCTGTCATGAGGACCAAGTTAGATACAATGTTCGAAGCACCCATTATGGTGCCTCAAATACACGTATACTTGAAACGACTCTGCTTATTTCCCTTCCGTAACCGTGTCTTAAAGGGAAAGAGGGAGACGGACAGATACTAATGGGGGGGCGGGGGGGGGGTGGAATGAGGCACCTACATCCTTCGATCCGTTATCGTAGAGTTAAAATAAACATTTTATAATCTGCCGTCCTTCGGGTAAAATAGTGATCATAGTCAAAGAAAACTGCCTTCTAAGTCCCTTCGAGCATTGCCCTGACACCGGGCTGAGAGCCTTCGGGGTGCTCAGTGAAGGAGGCCGAGGCGGCCCCTGGAAACGCAGAGGAACCTCAGAAACACCCCTCCCTCCACGTGGCACCGGCTGGTGTTAAGGGCTGTGCTCTCGGGACAGAACCCGAAGATGCCACAGCAGGAAGCTACTAGAAGATTGAAACCACCCATGGCTCCTGACACTTCAGTGACTTTCTGTCCCCTGCAGGGAAGGAAAGGAACTATGAACTGTCCTTGTTTGGGTTAAAGGGAAAATTCTATAAATGCTGTGTCTTCTTTTCCTTCACACTTTATCCCCACTCTCATCAGCGCCCATGACAACCCATGGTTGGCTGGCATTTCTCATCCAATGCCTGCGGTCGGGGCCTGGAACTTTAATTCGGGACAGGGAGAGAGCGTTCTCCTGTCTTCCGCAGTGGCTGCACCCGCCTGCATTCCCACCCGCAGTGCAGGAGGGTTCCTTTTCCTCCACATCCAGAAGCGTCCTTCTTGTCTTCTTCACTCCCGAGTTCCTGGACCCAGGCAGTCTGCCTATGGAAGAGGCCAAACGCTCGGATCTGGTTGGGAACATATGCTGTGCATCCCCTAGAGCTGCACCCTGAACTCCCCAACTCCCGCTCCCGGGGGGACAGCGCGGAGTCCTCAGCAGGTGACATTCACTTTTTATCAGGTCAGTGCTCCCATCGGGCCTGGAACCTCATGGGGGTCAGTCCACGGCCTCACTTCCCTGGTGATGGCGGTTCCTTCGCAGAAGCGATGTTGTGTGGAAGCTGTGACGGTGAGTCACTCAGTGAGTCAATGAATGAAGCGCTGGCAGGAGCCGGGGCTCAGGCAGGAAGAATCCATCTGGAGCAAAGGAGTCACGTCCCCCTCTGGTTGGACGGGGTCTGATGCATTTGGCTCCTCCCACCTGGCTGCCTGGCCCTTCGGGTGTGGCGCTGCACCAGGAGCCTTTATGTTAGCTCTGCTGTTAGCTCTGCTGTTTTCAGTGTTACCGGTTTCTATGGAATTCCCTCCTTAACTTTTGGCCAAAGTTCTGCTGCACATGATCTGTGTTGACTAATTGACTGCATTTTGTTTGTATAGGTTGGGCTCTTTGGACTTGTTTATATTTGCAACTCTCCTTTTTTTATTTTAGGTCCTTACAGGGCGTCTGCTGATTGAGTGGTTGGATGCTGAGATGTCTCCACCACAGCTCGCCAGTGGGGGGGTAGCCCACGACAGAGGAACAGGCTAGTCGGGGCGGCAAGCGCTGAGCACAAGGCCTTCCTAGCAGAGCACACGGTAAGAACCGCAACTAGACCCAAATGTCGTCACATAATGACAATTTCAACTTGGAGCTCAAGAAGTAATCAGGACAAAATATGCATTTGCTTTTGATATTTCTTGCTCCTGCAAGTCTAAAAGACAGCGGCGTATTTGGATTGCTTTAAAAACAAAACTCATCTCATTTCAACCAAATAACCACATTCTCAGAGATTTTTACCCACTTGCAGGATCGTTTTCATTATATCTCTCCACGTTTTATCCACAGTTGTAAACCGCCGGCCTTCCTCGGGCATCTGGGACATAATGTCAGGGGAGCTGAAGATGGGCTCCAGGTACAGCCACGTGGCTTGGACCTTGAGCCACTCGTCCAGGATCTCCTGCAGCAGCAGCAGCTTGGCTTCCCATTCTCTGAGGAGCAAAACACAGCGGCTCTGATCAATAGCACACCGAGCAAGGCTGACGATGACCAATCAAAACCATGACTAGACTGTCAATCTTGTATGCAAAGTTGTTACTGCAGTTTCCATGTGCTTGTCTTCACTCAAAGATAAATCACTAGATTTGTTCTACAAAGTCTGCTGTACAGTTATAGCATCAACTTGTTTGTATGTAGATATGCATGTGAACATATACCTATCTACAGATGGGCTAGTTTCCGTATATGTTGTAACAATGAACCTCTCTGCACCCGATTCCATGGCGAGAGGGTGCGCACGGAGGAAGGGGGTTTGGCGATAGCACCGGTGTTCTTGAGGAAGGACATTTTGAACTTCTTAGGAAAGGTAGCTATAGCCAAGATTCATTTCCTTTAACATTCTTCTTAAAAAAAAATTGGGGCCCATCAAGGCTTTATTTTCAGAATAAAATATTTCAATTCATAAGATGTAATTAGCATTTTAAAAAATCTACATAAATATACTAGTGTGGCATTCATGAGAAGGATGCACTTCAGAACTCACATAGGTTATCAGTTCATTCCTAAATATGAGGAACAAAAATAATAACTTGATTTCTTCAAGAATCAATATAATTACACCATAATCTAACAATTTTACAAGCACAGTTCTAAGGTCTCAGTATGTCTTTGCTCTACCCTCACATCCTCACATACATGCCAATGAAGAGACTAAGTAACATAGCGGTCAGTGCCATGTTCAAGTTCACCCAAGTAATAAGCGATAGAGGCAGATTTGAACACGGACTGCTATAACCACTATGCTATAAGAGCTAGACCCACTATTCTAAAAGAGCTAACAGAACCATAAAGAAGAATGATTAATTCACAGCAACAACACTTAGAGAGGGGATAGCTTTATGTGTACATTAACACATCAGTTATATGTGAAGGTCTGTCATTTTAGATTGTTAAAGCCAGGAAATATAAGAAGCAGGGCAGGAGACAGAGATGAGCGGGAGCAGGCCCAAGTGTAGGGTAATATAACGTAGTTAGCTTTCCTTGTCAACCAAATTCATATTGAAGAAGGGAGACGGATTTGGATTTACTCTCTTTTTAAGGTAAAATGTAAACTTTTAATACAAATTATAAAGATTGGCAGACGGGATAAGAGTTAACTTAATGGGCTGTGTCAAATGTCTAAAATGCCAGACTAAAAATCAGACTTTCATTCTTTTGCACTTTTCTAGCATTCCTTCGTGCTTAGGGGTAGAAATGACAATGGACTTTTAGGGATTATCCACACTAAACTATTTAGTATATTTAGAAAACGATATTACTTTCAGTTTTATAGTCTATGGTTTCTATAGACACACAATTATTTTTGAGAGTCAAATATGTAAGATCAGATTGTAGGCAAGAAAAAGGAATATGAGGAGGCTGATTGCCCACTACCTTTGTTGTGAACATAGAAGACAGCAAAGAGACTGGTACTCGCCCCAAAGCGACGAACGGTATCATTCCTTACGATGAACTATTTAGAACACTAAGTATGAGATGCAGAATCAATTTCAAAAAAGAACTCTACGTTGCATACAAGTGATGATTTGGGTAACAAAACAAGTGTGGACTTTGGGTGACAGTATCAACATTGTCATATAAATGTCACTTACCTGATTTGTTTTTCATAGGGCTTGATGAAAGGAGACCCTCGCATTGTCTGTGTCTTAATGATGTGGTCATCCAACAACATCTGAATTTCGTCAACTGATGACAAAATGGATGTCCCGGATTCTCTATAAGAGAGAAGGACAAATTCCATTGAGTCCCACTCTTTAATCATCTTCTCCAAGGTCTTCTCGAGAGTGTACTCCTTGCTGGCTGCTTCGCTGATGCCTTCAAATCTGTCTAAATACGGCTCCAGGTTCATGTCCAGGAAAGGGGAGACGGTGGACTCGTCGGCGGGCTGCAGGGGGAAACCCACAATGTTGGACATGGCCTCCCAGTGCCTGGGGCGCAGCCCAGGGTTGCAGATCACTTGAATGAGAGGGATGTGCTGCTTGAAATCTTCCACCTTGGCTTTGACTTTCTTCGTCATCGCCAGGGCATTGGGAGAGTCGTTGAAGGTCTTCTCCAGCTTGTAGAGTCCTCGCCAGTAGTTGCCAACGTCGACTTCTACTTGGTCTGGATCCACCTTGTGATACGGCCCTTCTGTCCACGCTCTATATTTATTGCTAAATTCGACAGCGGTTTCATAGAGACGAAGGTAGGGGTTCAGACTGTCTTGGATTTTTTTGCGTTGAGGATACAGCGACGGTGGCCAACCAAAGGCCTCCTCTTCGGCGTTAAACTGCTCGATCTGGAAGAATGGGCACTAAATGTATTATTCTGAAAGCGAATGATATTCAAAATTGAGTTTCAAAAAATATCAAGTGTGATCCAAAAACCCCTCATTGAGCCCTAAGGTTACACTTACATTCGGTCTAATCTAGAAAAACTGTTTGATTGCCATCTCCAGAGGGTGATGACTAGTTAGGTTCTAAATGCAGCAAAATAAATTTCATATATAAAGAAGACTGTGCCCATCAGATATACTGAGGACATAGCTTCATTCTTTAATTAACAAGAATCTAAGTACTTTAACATATCCAGCAATGTGTTGGGTACTGTGGAAAAATTTTAAGTATTATATTGCAAAGTTCCAACTCCAAGGAGTTAGTAATCCAGCTGAGGAGACAGGCCATCAGTACGCAAAAGTTAAATAGCAATTATTCAATAATAGTGTAAACACGAGAAGAGGTGTCTTAGATCTGTAGCTGTTTAATATAAAAGGAACAGTGTGTACAGAACAATGCTATCACTCAGAGACGAAAGAGCATGCTGGGATAGTTCCGTCACGGTGCTGCCATAGAGAAGACACACCTGGAACTGGGTCTTAAAAATAAGAAGGATAAGAAGAGGCAAAAAAAAAACAAACCCCCAAAACACAAACAAAAAAAACAAAAAACAAAAAAAACACACTGATTTCTTCTTAGTGTAGTTGTGAAATATGTGAGTATTTGAGTGGTTGGAGGAGAAATCTATAGAATGGAAGCGTGAGCTCAATATATAAATTATGCAGGTTACTTAAAATTTCAGTGGCTTCAGTTATAAAAAATCTACAAAGCTTATTTCTCTTTTCTCAACATGTGTTTACATATTTGTGATGATTATACACTAATTATTTGATCTGATACGATACTGAAATCTTTCAATGTAAGAAAAATGGTAGAGCATCATAATATGGTCTGTTTTCATATTTCCCTATTTCATATTTAATAAAATATTTAAAAAAAACACAATTAACAATGTCAAACACCTTACATGGCAAGGAATCTAGCTTTTCCCCTCCCAGCTTCTCCTAATGAGAAGGCCACTTTCTGAAACGGCGACATTGGGAGCCAAGTAGCCGGATGCGAAAATCACTAACTTAAAAACACAGTGAAGAGGAGAGAACTCAACAGCAACCAGGTGCCGTCACATGACGCACGTGTTTAAATGGCACAGAATGGCAGCTGAGAAGCTGACGGAGATATGACACATTCTTTCAAACAAAAAATGGAGGCCATCGAAATGTCATCGCGGCCCATCGAAAGCAGCAACGCCACGTCCCGAAGGCATGTCGGTTACACCTGTTTGTGCCGCTTATGTTCTTCTCTGATCAAATGTAGTGAAACCTGTTCCATTTGAATCTATTCCTTAAAGGTGAATACACAATGCAAACCCGATCCTCTTCCTCTTGAACTAATTCACCCTCCTAAGCATTGTTCACGGCACCTTGTCCGCTGCGAGGTCCAGCTTCCCGTTCAGTGTCTGGGCCTTTTTCAGGTACCGCTGCACGTCCTGCAGGTCGCCCAGGGAGTAAAACTCTTCCGACTGCTTCGCGTAGCTCTCCAGCTCCTCCACAAACCGCTGGCACCGCAGCTGGCAGGAAGAGAACAGCATCGCGTGTTACCCGTCTGAAAGTTAGAGCCCCGCGGCCTCGAGAGAGACTTTACATGCTTGTAAGGCCTGCCAGAATTATTACTCATATGTTTTGATATTGGCAAAATATAAAGAAAAGGACCATCTGGAAGATGCCTGGAATCTAAAATATACAGAAGTTTTCAGAGTGGGATTTAAAACGAACGATTAAGATTCCTGTGATTCACAAATTAGAAAGTTTACCCTCGTGCTATCCATGTGAGACATTCTAACTAACAAAATGATTAAGAATGTGTTAGACGATGGAATTCCTTAGTATGCTAAAGAATTTATGCTGATAATGATTTATAAGCCTTTGAAAATCCCATAGAATCGTCAAGTATGGGACTCAAAGAAAACTCCAATATTTTAAAGGCAATAAAGATATCTGAGGCCCTATTACAAACAACTGGAAGAACGATTTAATTGTGTTCTCACATTCAAATATCTTTTTAATCAGCAATGCTAAAACAAAGGATTGTGGGGTTATTTTTCTTGTCTGAGGGCAGTGGTTCTCAACCTTGGCTGCACATTAGAATCACCTGGGAATCTTGTTAAAATCCTGATTTCTGGGCCTCATCCTCCGGAAATTCTGTTTCTTTGTTATGGGGTGGGGGCACAACATGAGTAACAAAGAAACAGGATTTCCGGAGGATGAGGCCCAGAAATCAGGATTTTAAAAAGATTCCCAGGTGATTCTGATGTGCAGCCAAGGTTGAGAACCACTGGCCTGTAAGGTAAGTAAAAGCCCCACACGATCGCTCTCCAATATACAACAGGTGTGTGGTTCTTCAATGAGAAAGGCTTATTGTAAAATTTTCATTGGTAAGGCACTAAATAAATCCCGAAAAATAGTTCTTAATGAAATATTTAAAAGTCGAATCTAGGTTATGCAAAAATAGGCTTTCTATTTTATAGATTTCTAGGTTGATGTCTGCCCTCTTTCCTTTAGTTTCCTGGCACAGGTATTGCTCTGGGCCCGCGAGGGAGGAACGGAGAGGCACAGTCCCACCCACACGGTGTAGAATAGGGTCCTTTACAATAAAGTCGAGATCATTTTGAGCCACTTGGCGTTTTCTAAGATTTGATTATATGGTAACGTAAGCATCTACTCCTTATTATCCATGATGTCGTCTACAAGTTTTTAAAAATTCTGCAATGGCCTAAATGTAAACCAGAAATATAGACTGCAGTTCAACATGAAGTGTTTTTTGTGTGTTTGTTTCACTCAATGAATTATTCTCCAAACCACATGTTCCCCAATTAACTGCACGGGAGGTGTGGTGGGAAGACCTGAGGCTTGCTACCAGAGGACACCCCTCCTGGACGCCTGTTAGGGTCACTCTGGGAACCTCCGCTTTCCATTTGTAAACACTAAGCCATTATTCAGACCACAGCTTGGAGAGCTCAGGGCAGGGCCAGTGGGAAACAACAGGGAAGGTCAAACCCAGCAGCCTGCCGCCGGGAGCTCGTGGTCTAGTGGGGAGACAGTCCCGAGAATGACAACACAGCGACCAGGTGAGCAGGCCGGGGAGAGGTGCTAGCAGAGGTGCTAACCGTGCAGGGGAGCAGGGAGGCAGCACTGAGCTCTGACTCCCAGGGCGTCTCCGAAAGTCAGAAGAGTGAGCTAGACAGACAGACAGACAGACAGACACGCAGTGTGCGGGCAGGAGGCGCTCCAGAGCGAGGGGGAGGGATGTGCAGGAGATGACAGGCAGGCGTGGGAGAACAGGGACCTAGGGTTGCTCAGCGTCACTGAAAAGTCAAGAACATGGAGTGGGAAGAGGTAGGAGATGAGGCTGGGCAGGTAGACAGGGACAATTCCAAGCATCTTATATGTAGGACAAAAACAGAGTAAGTAAATGCTAAGAGCGAGGATTCTAGGTGGGCCCGTGTGGCTCAGTTGTTGAGCATCAACCTATGAACCAGAAGATCACAGTTTGATTCCCCGTCAGGGCATTTGCCCGGGTTGTGAGCTCCATCACCAGTAGGGGGAGTGCAGGAGGCAGCCCATCAATGATTCTCTCTCATCATGTCTCTCTCTCTCTCTCTCTCTCTCTCTGAAAGCAATAAAAATATATATTGGGGGAAAAGGTGATGATTTTAGGCTCAGTACTTAGGCAAGTTTGAGCAATTATCAGGTGTGCAGGCGCATTTCATCAGAGAGCTTTGACAATAAATGATAAAAATAAAAGAACTCAAAAGAGCATTCACTGTGGACTGTATGAGATAAATACTGTTTCTATGAAGGGTCATGGGTGGGCAATGTATTCGAATGTTTTCTCCCTTGGAAAAAAATCAAGACATGACACCCCATCGCTCCAGTATGCGTGCCACCTTCTACTACGATGTAGAGCCTGCGAGAGCTGAAATGGATGGCCCGTGGGACAGGTGAGGTACAAAGCTACCGAAGAAGGTAAAACGTAAACGTGTCAAGACAACGGAAAACATTTAACATCTCGGTGGTGCCAACCTTGAGGCCGTCCTGGTACTGCTCTGTTTTGTCCGCGATGATCCTCCTGTGCTCCTCGAAGATCTCCTCCATGCGCCCGTACCACTGGAACACGTTGTTGTTGAGCCTGATGTCCGCCGGGGAGAAGGTGGCGCACTCGATGAGGAAGGCGAGGCAGTTCTTGGAATCCACCAGTCTGCGTCCCAGCTCAATCATATCAACTGTCTCCACTTTCTTAATATAAGCCTGCGGGAAACAGAGATTACAGACGGCGTTTTCATGAGCAGCTCCTGTCAAAAAACAGCCTGAAGGACACACGGCATAAATATATATACGATAGACTTGTTAAAAGGACTGTAGACCTGGTTCAAGACTGGGGGCCACAGCACAGGACCGCTGCTGAACAGCAGGGGGCGGTAAAAATACAAACACATTCGAAATTTCTTATTTCCCAGAAACCCATAGCATTCTTCTCTGGTTTTCCAAACACATAAGATGCAAACCATGGTGTCTTCACAGCTAACAAAACATCTACCTGACGATACAGTCCTTTTGTCATTGGGTTAATCAGCTTCCTGTAGTCAAAAAACTGGGTTTTTATTTCCCTTTCTGATAATCAATGACCAATTTCCATATTAAATAAACGGAAAAACTATTCTGCCTTTGCGGCAATAAACTTTTTTAAGGTACAGAAATCTTTCAAATGCCAGTTGAGGAATCCCATTTGCTAATTCTGTAAAAGGTTGCTATGAACAATAGACATTCACACGAAATAACACCAAATTCCTTAATATTCCCAGTCACGGTTAGGAGGGTAAATAAATGACACTCTTCATAGTCAGCATTTATTTTTCCAAGGGAATTTACAGTTATGAAACTCTCCAGCTATATTTATAATCACCCATAACCCAAGTATCACTTGATATCTTATAACAACTAATACAAAATATGCAAATATTCTAAAAGAGAATATATATATAGGCATGTGTGCATATTTCACTCCTCCCACACACACATATATTCACACCCTAAGAACTTTAGTCTAATATAAATACTTTCAAAAAATAGAACTTTTTAATATAGAGGCTAATATGTAAGAGTTGGTTGTAATGATTTTAACAAACCTTTGCATGAATAATTTAAAATCTGCATTGCCCTAGCTGATTTGGCTCAGTGGATAGAGCAGCCGTGGGCAAACTACGGCCCGCGGGCCAGATCCGGCCCGTTTGAAATGAATAAAACTAAAAAAAAAAAAAAAGACCGTACCCTTTTATGTAATGATGTTTACTTTGAATTTATATTAGTTCACACAAACACTCCATCCATGCTTTTGTTCCGGCCCTCCGGTCCAGTTTAAGAACCCATTGTGGCCCTCGAGTCAAAAAGTTTGCCCACCCCTGGGATAGAGTGTCAGCCTGTGGACTGAAGGGTACTGGGTTCAATTCCAGTCAAGGGCATATGCCCAGATTGCGGGCTCGATCCCCAGTAGGGGGCATGCAGGAGGCAGCCGATCAATGATTCTTTTTCATCATTGATGTTTCTATCTTTCTCTCCTCTCCCTTCCTCTCTCAAATCAATAAATATACATATATGTAAAATGTAAAATAAAATGTGCATTATCATTTGAACACATTTTGAAATTTCTTGTCTATACACAGAATTGAATGATTTTTATGTGTTTTGCTTAAATATTTTTAAATCTAAAAATTAAAGGGATCTATTTTGCATCTTGGGACTGCTTTAAAGGAAAAAAAAACAGATCCCATAAAAGCGTAATGTTGTGAGAATGAAAAAAGGAATAAAATGAAATGATGATTAACTAGTTGTTCCATATTATTTTATTCACCTTCAAGCATAGGAGTAACATTAAAAAAAGGTAAAAGTGAGATAGCCACTATTTTCAGTACCATAAATCCCTATGCTCAAAACATAATATATTTCAGCAAAGTATAACAGAACATTTTAAAGGACTAAACTTTCGTTGATAAAAAAATTAAAGGTAATCACTTATATCCGTTTGCCCAGATGGTCCTGGTTTATGCCTTTAGTTATGATCGGTGCTCTCAATAACATCCTGGGAGATGATGCCTAAAAGCCTCACCACGCCCCCTCTCCCAGGACCTATGCCCGCTGTATCCTCTCCCTCTGCCTCTGGGCACTTGCTTTGGTCGATGGGCGGTTAGCTAATGTGACCCAAGGAGAAACTTGAGAAGCACTGGTGAAGCTGAGCTGGCTCTTGTGCCTCTGCCGGGTCATGAGCGCCCAGGCAAGCCTGCTGGGGGCTGGAGAGAGGAGCTGAGAACCCGCTGGTTCCGCTGTGTGAGCGGCCAACTGAGACCAGAACCGCCCAGCAGCGCTGGCCTGCCTCGCCACACTGCAGACTCCTCAGTGACGCTACAGAATAGTTCAAGCCTCTGTTATAACGTCTGGAGGGATTTGTTATTGTGTTATCATGCTAATAATTGTAAGAGCTGAGAAAAAAGAGAAAAACATTATTTGATACACATACAACTGTAAAGACTTTACAGGCGGTACCTTCATTTCCATCAGTTCCGCCGTGTTCGGAGGGGTGCTGAGAGCTTTTTCGGCGATCTTCTCAAATTCATCACATAACCTGAGACAGCCGACGAAAGCCAGAATTACCTTCCTTCCTAAATACGTTACTATATCCTATATAAATGCTCCATTACGTGAAAAATAAGATGATCCTATCTATATGGTATCTAATGAATTTAAAGCAAATTTGTGTTCACTTATTCAATACACATTTACTCTTCATCTATTATATTCCCAACGACAGTATAAGTGACATAGAAGTGAGTAAAAGGTAATAATGGCCCTCAAGAAGTTCACACTCCACCTGGGAGACATAACCATAAGCGATCACTTCTGACCGAGCGTTTCGAGGGCCTGGCGGAGACCTAGCTGCGATGGCATGAAATAAAGTGGCACAAAGGAAGGCGTGAGCAGCTTCGCTGGGAGGGAGTGCTTACCTTGGGCCCTCGAGCCCAGAAACCTCTGGTAAGATGCAAATATTCCCTATTGATCTGGGTTGTGGCCAATATAAGTACTGAAGTTACTGTGAGGCTAAAAGCAAGCAAACAAACAGACAAAATGTGTGCTGGGCCCTAAGGAAATCCAGATAAAATGTATAGAAATTTCTTCAAGAGGATTGGCCGTGAGGTGGAGGAGAGGAGAGTAGCGTGGGGATGCGGTGAGTTGAAGTAGGGTTGGGGCAGGGCTTTGAACTTGTCTGTAAATTTCGGGGGTGGAATCACAGTGGAAGAGAGAGAGGACTGGGGAGCCAGCCCCGGAGGGTGGAAACAAGGGGGTGAGGTCACAGGCAGAGAGACCTCTGGGTGGTTAACAGACTCGCCCTCTGAGCTCGTGGGGAGACGGGTCTGAGCGGGTTCATGGAGAGGTTCGTGTAATAGCCCCACGTGTGTGTCCTCTGTACATCCGACGAGTCTGGTGAGAGGGTCGTTAGGGGAAAGCGGGGAAGTAGGAGGGGCTGGAGCTCAGAGGGCAGGTAAGAGGCAGGGAAAACAGCTGTGAAGTTAAAAGAAATGTTTTGCTCAGCGTGGAAAGCTGCCCGTAAAAGGCATTTTCACTATCCTCCCGGCACTTTTAGAGGAAAGGTGCTTTGCCGAATATGTGATTCTGGTTCCTAGATAAGCGACCCAAAGCCAAGCCCTCTCTCTCCTGGTGCTCCCTCTTCAGCCCTCCCCCTCACCCCTCCTCCCTCCCGGTGTCTGGACTACACCATGCCATCTCCATGGCTCACTTCCTTCCACGCAGTCTTTTCTCTGCTTGGAATCCTCTCGCCCACACTGCGCACTGGCAGCCTCCTACTCCTTCAGAACAAATCCACAGGCCGCTTCCTCTGTGCAGCCTTCCCTGATCTGCCCCTCTCCCCCATCCTCTCCCCGGAGAGAAAGTTGTCTCCTTCTCTGTGCTGCTTCTGTGGCTCAGGGCAGGGCTTACTGCGGACGATTGTAATGTATGGGTCTGTGTGTCTTTGTATGTCTGTTTCCCCCTCAACACTGTGACTTCCCTCAGCAGTTAGAGCTGTAGTCCCAGGGCCTGGTGTTTTGCCCAACACACGGTGGGTAAATGGAGCTTCTGTCAGGCTTCCTTACAGCCTGGGAGAAATGTCCCTTTTAACGATTTCTTTTTCTAGTACCATAACTATAAAAATTCCGATTATTTGTGCACCCTCCCCCCCCCATAAAACTGATACCAGAAAAGAGGTGGCCAGAGCAACGCTAACATCAGTTGTTGGAAGACTAGTTATACGTTCTGTCTAAATCAGTGATGGCGAACCTTTTGAGCTCGGCATGTCAGCATTTGGAAAAACCCTAACTTAACTCTGGTGCCGTGTCACATATAGAAATGTTTTGATATTTGCAACCATAGTAAAACAAAGACTTATATTTTTGATATTTATTTTATATATTTAAATGCCACTTAACAAAGAAAAATCAACCAAAAAAATGAGTTCGCGTGTCACCTCTGACACGCGTGTCATAGGTTCGCCGTCACTGGTCTAAATAAACAGGCATTCTGCTTTAGCATTCTGTGAGGTCACTTAGCGTAGGTCAAGTTTCCTAAAAATCTCTAGGTTCGTCAACCAATGAGTTTCTTGTTAAGACGAATAGTTACCATGGACTTGAAAAGTAATGACAGCGCGATCAAGTTCCAGATGTGAGGATCCCTAAGGACCCAGGACAACGACCGTGTGAATCCACTTTGAAAACCCACTTTGTGTATTGATTACGCAACTTTAGAAACATGAGCTCAGAGAACGCCCACCTGGCTCATGCAAGTGAAAGGCACAGCCTCTTCATGCCACTTTAATTTAAAAAACTGCAAAGGCGCTTGTGGTGAAAAAAATACTAATAATCACCAAGTAACACAAAAAGCCGAATAGAAATAAGTTCGGCATTATCTTTTCTTTTGGGTCACTTATGACACTATTCTAAGCCCTTTATGTAGTTGAATGACAGTTGATTCTACTTCACATCATCCCCCCAAATAAGAATTTAATGTCACATAAATACCTTGTATTTACTTCTTGATGATCTCTGAACATTTTAGCTACAAGTTTTCCACAAATAACCTCTGCTCGCTTCACCAAAGCTCTAATTAAATCCTCACAGCGCACTTCAAACATTCCTAAGCGAACAGTCTACAATGTCAAGTATTAGAAGTTTAGTAAACATGATAAAAATAAAAGGTTCTTACAATTTTGCCTTTCTAAAAACATTAATTTTGTGTTAAACATTAATCTAATAACATTGAGGGTGGTTTTTTTCATGTCATGTAGGCAGGTTTTTGCATAGAAAATATCAAAAAAGAGAGGAAATTTTAATTTACCAGTCTCCTACTAGACAGAAGTAACCATATTTTGGTGAAATTACCATATTTTCCAAAGGAGTTATAAACACTAAAGTAAAAAAAAATTAAGTTCTGCCCTAGCCAATTTGGCTCAGTGGATTGAGCATCGGCCTGCAGACCAAAGGGTCCCGGGTTCGATTCCGGTCAAGGGCACATGCCTCGGTTGCAGGCTCCTCCCCGGCCTGGGCTCTGATTGGGGCTGGTGCAGAAGGCAAACAATCTATGTGTTTCTCTCACATCGATGTTTCTCTCTGTCTTTCCCTCTCTCTTCCACTCTCTCTAAAAATCAATGGAAAAATATCCTCAGGTGAGGATTAACCAAAAAAAAAAAAATGTAAGTTCTTGGAATTGTTGAGGGGTCAAATTTAGAGCTGTAGTAGACTTTCAACTCTAATAGCACAAGAACCGTGTCTGTTTTGTCCAGCTCCGTGTGTCCCGGGTTTCCCACAATGCTTGCCACATGGAAAGGCTCCATCGGTATTTCTCCTTTTGATAGTCATGGTCTCATCTTTCACGGTATGGCCTGAAAACACGTTCTGGTAACCCTGGGGAAATCCCACCAGGTATAGGGAAGAACTGTACAAAGCGGGTCGCCTACCTTTCTCGTTGTGTACTGTATGTCCTCTATAAGTTGTTGGTATTTGCGAATTTCTTGTATTATTTTCTCGTAATGATGGTTTTCTGCCAGGAACGCGTCCACATCTCTCTCGGCTTTCCTGGTGATCAAGAAGTCGTACTTGTTGTAGAGTTTGAGGTGCTCGATGGGGGCTGCGCTCTCTCTCAGGATCACTTCCTTAACCTTTTCTTTGTGAGCTTCAATAATCTCATCCAGAATGACTGGTGCCAAGGTTGTTGGCTTAGAGTTACTGTCCTAAACAGAGCGGGGGGAACAATGGTAGTAATTTAAAATGCCTCATATAAAGGTAACTGTGTCATTTAGCTTTGTAAAAAGGCCAATCTTACCATATTGACATTACTTTTTATTCACAAGGTCTTTTTGATTTTCTATTCTCTATAGTAAGATATGCAGTCTTTCTATTTTATTTTTTCTGGTTTTTTGTATATTTTAAATATCTAGGATTCATATAACTTTTTAATTTTTCATAAGCCTACCTACCTAGTTTATGTTTTGCTTTTCTCTGTGGAAAGAACAGTCACTTAAAAATATACACCAAGTAAGATAATATAAAAACAGAAAAATCCACATTTTTTTGTCCAATTGTATATGCTGGTTTTACGAGGCAGTGTTTGCACTGTACACTATTTTAAAAAATAAGGCATTTTAATGTCACATCATCATGTGTGTGTGTGTTTTTTTTTATCACAGTACGTTTTCACTTTGAGGAGTAATGTGACTAGAGCAAGGAAAGACTGTTTACTCTTTATTGACCTCTGATTAACGAACAGCAACTAGAGCAGACGAAAATCCCTCGCTGCAAAATTTGCGTTCTGCTATGATCATTAGCATAATGGTGGGCAAGAAAGGATCAGACATGATTTCAAATAAGCAAACAAATCTCAACAGCGTTTCTCTCCTTTTTCAAACAAGAGGACAAGTAAATGTGCCCACATGGTTCATCATCTTGAACCAAGTTAGTGGGTTCCCTGCAGCATTCAACTGGCTAATATCTAAGGATTCTTTCAGAGAACTAATTTAGTCAGGTATCCAGGGTGCACTTGACCACTATGCCCCCTAGTGGACATTTCAGGAAATCATTTTGCTTAGAACTACAGATGCTTCATGAGAACTTGAGTGAATCCCACCACCACCACCACCTCACCCCTTGGCTCCATGGATGAGGGTGTCATCTTTTCTCAGAAAGAACTTTAGACTAAAGCCATATCTATTATGTACTGTATGCCATGTTAAATCATTGGCTCTAATGTGAAGCTCATTAATGTTCATTATGGAATGTTTCTCAAATGTATTAACAGCCTGTGTAATTTTTAAAGGCTATAGATTTATTTTTCTAAAGAGAACTGGAGACCAGTACTTGGGAACTATATTATAAAGTATTGTTTTCATGTGACTTCTAATCAGTTCCTATCAAGTACGAAGGGAAATGATATATTAGATGAGACAGTTCAGTGTTCAAAAGCATCTCAAATCATATCAAGAGATGGTGATGTACGCGGACTCACAACACTTTAAGTTCCTTGTAGGTTTGCCTTCCATGGGGGAAAAGGTTTAATTTAAAATTTGTTAAATTTCCCCTATAATTTCTATAAAATTTGTGTAATTTGTGTAACATCTGAATTCCACCTCTGCAGTTGCTGCCAAAGATCATTAAGAGCATGCTCATTGTCTTACTCCAAGGCCTCTCTAAAGCTGGTATTTAGGTGGTGTTCTAGTAAAGCCATCTCCAACAATGCAGACTTTGGTAAACCATCCTCCTCCACATGTCCTTCTGTCTCCTTCTGAGGTGAGCAACTTGTAAGATCTCTGTTTCTCCCTGGGCATGAACTTTGAGCAGAGGGACGTTCCATTTCTCTTTCTGCTTTCTCTTTCCATTTCTGTCTGATCATCCCGGAAAGTACGCTAGCCTAGGACTGTCCCTCTCTGACCAGCAGATCCCAGTGGAAGGCTGGACTGAGAAACTAGGTGTATTGTTAGGGAAGTTAATGGGAAAACAGTATTCTTTTGGAGCAAAACTTCCTCATAGGTCAATGTTCCTAGGCTGTTTAAATTCTCCAGAGCAGAGGATCCCTGTCTACCCCTTTTTGAAGTGAATATCATGCCAATTCAAGCAATCAGAATATACTTGTCACTTACCCACTTGGAATACAATTTTGTCTCAACCCTCGGCACAAAACTGACAGCTTTAATCATGACATCATAAATATTTAAAAAGATGTCTATATAGTCTTCGAACTGAGGTTCAAACTTAATGGTGTCATTATCAAGAAGCAGCCTCACGATGAAACCTGGATGTTCAAAAGCCCTGACAGAATCCTGCAAAAAAGCATATATTCTTGGATTATTATTTATTAATTAGTGAGTGTATTACTTTCCAGATGAACGACTGTAAACCTGCTTCTGCCCCACCCTGCACAGATGAACTGCACTAGACTGAGAAGTGTGTTGGCCCCGTTGGAATACGGGGAACCCACCGTTCCTCTGACGCCCTGGACAGTTAAGCCGAAGAAGTTACTGAGAAGGGCAAGTGACTCCCAGCTGGACTTGCTGGTGTCTAGCAGCCATGGGGCCTACAGATTCTGGGAAAAGGAGGGTGTGCACGGAGAATCGTGCAAAAAAAGAGCCCAACAGGAGAATATTCAAATTCCCAGACAAAAGGAAAGTCCCAGGTCCAGCTCACACTGTAATAGAACCTCTTCCGGAAAGAAGAGAGTTTCTCGTGGAAACGTTCCCCAGCCATCATGACCCAAATTTCCTAATTATGGGAATTTTCACTTATTTCCGTTAATCCTCACCAATGTGCTGATTGATACCCACATATCTTAAACACACAGGTTCACATTACTGGTAACTTTGTGTGTTTTTTTTAAACAGATAAGCATAATAGGTCAAAGGACATACAAGGTGAGGCAAAAGTAGGTTTATAGTTGTGAGTCTGCGAAACACAGTTTATTCTTGTGCTATTATTTATTAATTATTGTTTTATTTTCCAAAAGAACAGCTGTAAACCTAATTATGCCCCACCCTGTACTGGCTACTGTCCCACTGGTAAAGGCATTTTAGCCTTTCTTCCCTGAAAAGACTGAAAACGAATAAGTTAGTAAATGGATGTTGGTGTAACTGAACCAAACGTACTGGGGGTTGTGCGACTAAGTCTGTGAAGTCTTGCATGGAGGCCAAGGTGAGGTCCTGCAGCTGTAAGGTCATCAGCGCCGCGGCGCAGTTGAAAAAGGACTCCAGCTTGGCGCTGCTCTCGCCAGTGGGCAGCTGCTTCTTTTTATTGCCTTGGTAATAGATGTTCTGCACTTCCGGAAACCACCTTCAAAGAACAACAGACTCTTAAAGCTCGTGCTCTTAGCGAATTACCCCTCTCACCCTGAGCGTTCATGGTAACTTCTGGACAGCTGAAGGCCTTCGCAGAGAGGCACGGTGCCAAGTGACATTGCCCGCTCCCTGAATGTGAGCGCTGGCCTATTCCACGTCTCCCAGGAACGGACACTGTCATCATGGCCTTTAGAAAAATATGACACCTAACTTCATTGACCATTATAAGGTACTCCAGGCTCCCGAATGTTCTTCGGGGAACGGATTTGCTGAAAGCGAGCATGTCATGTGAACAACTGATTGAGACAAGGGAGGGTTTGCTGGGTTCAACGCAGTGGGCATTTTATGCTGTTCTATCCATTTCACAATGACTTGAAAGCAAGGTACAAATCAAGTATATTATATTTTTATTCCCCTGAATGTGAAATCCTGAAACAGTGACTGAGATTAAAATGTGTATGTATCCTTATGATAAAATGAAAACAGAGAAACTCACATGTAGATACATCAGAATGATAATAGGTGAAGTTTTCAGTTTATAAAACCACTGTCCAACACTACAAAATTCAGGAATGCGGGTACCTCTTTCACAAGAGATAATGGATTTTTTAAAACAGGGAATTCATAACCTCAGGAGTTGCCTGAGTGCTTGAAGAGCAAGCTAAGCTTTAAATATATGTATCCATCCCATCTATAATAATAAAAGCACAATATGCTAATTAGACCAGATGTCCTTTCAGACTACCTTCCGGATGAAGCTGGGGCTGCGAGGGAAGCCCGGGTCCTGGGTGCCAGAGGGAAGCTGGTGCCGGCAGCCGAGGGAAGGAAGGCCTACTCTTGCACGAATTTCGTGCATCGGGCCTCTAGTTAACAAATATGTGTTTAGTGTCTACTATGTGCTGGGAACATGTCATGGGAGATATAAAACCTTATGGCATCATCCCTTCTCTCATAATAATGAAGGCCATGTGTCATGGCAGAAAAACAGCTTTGAAGTCAAAGGATAGAGAAGTAATTTCCCATTTATTAGTGAAGAAGGGTTTTATAGTGAAGACGGCAGTTTCACCGAAGAATAGACAGAAATGATGCCCAGCCGACTAATGAACCAGGAGGTCAGGGTTGGATTCCTGGTCAGGGCACATGCCCGGGTTGTGGGCTCGAGCCCCAGTGTGAGGGAGGCAGGAGGCAGCCGATCAATGATTCTCTCTCACCCTCTCCCTTCCTCTCTGAAATCAATAAAAATATATATATTTTTAAAAGAATAGATAGACTCTGAGAAAAGGATCTGGAGGAGAACAGTAAGTAGAACAGGTGGGTTTGGTGAAGATAATATATCTGATCGTGTCACTGCCTATAGTAGAGACGATAGGCTAGAAAAGAGGAGGAAGTCAGTGGGGGAAATGCTGTGAGGGCTTTTGCAGAACTTGGGAGCTAAGTGTTTGAACTTGGGACAGCCTTGCCCTTTTAGATGAAGCCCTGGTGCAATTATCATTTGGCAAATCGAACCTCCAATGCGATTGTAAACTTCTTTAAAGAATATCTTTTCCCCATCATTCTTTAAACTCTTCTGCATCTCTCATCCAAAAGCACAATGAAAAATGCATAGCACCTTGCATGTGTCAACAGTATATGTCAAATAGATATCTGGCAAGTAACTAATTGATGGTCATTCCCCCATGGGACAATAAGGATGAATCTTGAGAGTATTATGTTAAGCGAAATAAATCAGAGGTGGAAACCAGACATTAAGAAAAAAGTAACCGTCAATCATAATCATTTTGGTTTCTGTACAATCTGTGCTGCGTAGAACATTTGGGTAGACATCACAGACCAAAGCAGTTAACCATATCACATTTAACTCTTAAGCAGAAATGATTACAAACTTGTTAAAATTGAATTTTCTAAAGGCAGTTAAAAATGCAGAACCCCACCAATCCCATCTTTAAATTCATTATCCTCTGTCAAAACTTTACGTTTTAAGTAGAGTCTCTTTGGCAGTTTCCAGGTGTCTCATGATGATGGTCTGAAAGTTTGACAGCTCTAACGCCTCCTGGCGATTGTGAAATTCTTCTGTATCAATTAAACGTAATTTCCTGTGAGATAAAAATGAACAGTGATATAAGTATGAGATGTTTTTGTATGTAGTATTTTGCTATTTGATCCCTTCTAAAAAATATGATATTTCTAAGTTTTATCACTAAAATTTGTGTTTCATAAAATTAAAAATTCAAGTACATGAGACATTATGATTTTAAATATAATTAATATACTTTTGCATGTGGCTTTCCAACTTTCCCAGCACCATTCATTGAAGAGGCTTTTCCCCATCTATTATATATTTTTGGCTCCTTTGTAAAAAATGTATTTGCCCATGCACATGTAGGTTTATTTCTGGACTCTCAATTCTGTTTCATTGGTCTGTGTGTCTGTCTTTCTACCAGTACCATGCTGTTTTGATGACTGTCACTTTGTAGTATAATCTGAAGTCAGGGAGTGTGACGCCTCCAGCTTTGTTCTTTTTTCTCAGGATTGCTTTGGCTATCCGGGGTCTTTTGTGGTTCCATTTGTCCCCATACACAAAAACTAACTCAAAATGAATCAAAGACCTAAATATAAGACCCGAAACAACAAATTATGTAGAAGATAATGTAGGTAGTAAACTTATGGACTTAATATATGTGGTTTACTCATTGATTACCTATTGGTATAATTGTGTTACTACAATTTAACTATAGATTTCTTCCCTATTTCCATGTGATTAAGTGATTTCTATATTATCTGAAAGATAGTAACCACTATTAAGAACATCACATTTAATTTTTACTTAAAGGTCAATATAAAATCCTGGCTAGTAAACAAAACACATTTCAAATCGGTTTATTGCTACTCCTTTCACGAGCCAAATTCACCCCTTAGGTCATAAAGCATCCAGTACGGGGCATGGCTGACCCACGGGGCACAGAGTGGGGACCGCTGCTGGAGCACCTTTGGAAGGTGACGGGCTGTGCTGACCACTGGGCGGTGCAGAGGAACGGCTTAAACAGGTGCTTTGAAAACAGCCCAATAGCCTGTCTAACAGACAAAGCCTAGCTCTTTCTGGACAAGCTGAGCCCTGGAGCCCACCCAGCCCAGTGTGTCCCGCAGCTCCACCTGCGGGTGGCCGAGAGGAAAACACACGTGGTGGCGGGAGAAAAGGCTCGTAGACCCCGCCTCCCTGTCTCCCACACCCCCCCCAGGCCAGGATGCCATCTCCTCTGCCAGAAAACAGGGCCCATCCATCCATCCATGTTTTGTTGAGAGGCCTTCTTTAAGAAAAATAACACATATGCATTACTTTTGCATATTTACAAAGACATAACCCAGTGCCCTGGAAATGGCGGTTCCAGGAAGGGGAGATGACGAAGCTGGAGCTTCTAGAACACGAGGCAAACCGTCCTCAGCCCGGGGCCCAGCTCTCCAGCTTTGCAGCGCCCACCAGAGCTCCTCCCGCTGGCCCCGTCCCCGCCAGGACAGGGCCCGGGAGGTGATGCCTGGCCCGGGTCACCCAGGACCTTCACTCATGCCACACGCATGGGCAATATTGTCTAGGTAGCGGCCAGTGTTCTGTGGGATTCAAAACAGGGCATGATATGCCCAGCCGGCGTGGCTCATTGGCATCTACCTATGAACCTGGAGGTCACCGTTCAATTCCCGTCAGGGCACATGCCCAGCTTTTGGGCTCATTCCCCAATGTGGGGTGTGCAGGAGGCAGCTCATCAATGATTCTCTCTCATCATTGATGTTTCTATCTCTCTCTCCCTCTCCCTTCCTCTCTGAGATCAATAAAAATATATTTAAAAAAAAACAGGGCATGATAATTCAGCCCCTTAAGTGTAATTACCCCTTAAAGACTGTGTGAGAAGGGAAAGGGGGAAAAATGGGAGATATCTATAATACTATCGACAATAAAAATATATTAAAAAAGATTGTGTGCCCTGACTGGTTTGGCTCAGTGGATAGAGCGTCGGCCTGCGGACTCAAGGGTCCCAGGTTCGATTCCGGTCGGGGGCATGTGCCTTGGTTGCGGGCACATCCCCAGTGTTGGGTGTGCAGGAGGCAGCTGATCAATGTTTCTCTCTCATCGATGTTTCTGGCTCTCTATCCCTCTCCCTTCCTCTCTGTAAAAAATCAATAAAATATATTAAAAAAAAAAAAAGATTGTGTGATATCAGGGTACGGAATGGGGAGGGGAGAACTGGATTAGAGATAGAGGCAGTATTTACTTTTTATTCTATACATTTCTATATTGCTCATTTAAAACCGTGCTTAAATACTTACATTGAATTGGTGATATTTTTAATATTTGCCGTTAAAGCAGAAAGGAAATAGTGAAGATGCAATGTGATCATTTCCATCTCAAAAACAACACAAAACTCAGCCAGGCCAGACACACTCACTTGAAGGTGCTGTTCCACAGGTCCAGCACCGCCAGCATCGTGGGGTTCATCGCGTTCAAGTGGTCCCTGATGTAGCTACTTGCGGCCAAGAAAGATTTCCTCCAAGGTTTCGGGAGAATTTCCATTCTGAAAACAGAGAAAACACTATGTAACCTTCTCTAAAGATCAAGAGAAAGTATTTTTATGGTTCATGTACTTTTTGAGTAATAATGGCTTAATTTTAATTAAAAATATGATGCATCCCTCCTGGTAATCACAGTACAAGTCATGCTCTTTATAATTTATTAAACCTTAGGACAATAATGCATATGAAATTGGATTTGAATTTTTATCACATAAGGTTTTTTTTCTCTAAACAGTTTATCCTATTGAGTCCAAAAATAAATTAGAATGATCAAACAGAAACATGTTATGCCATATATATATATATATATATATATATATATATATATAAAGATTTTCTTAAACAAGACAGAAAACATTTAACTTTTCCTTTATTTTTAAAACATTGCAAGGATATAGTCCTTCCTACCTATGGGAATCCCCTTGAAACTCACCTGTTAACGTGTGAAGGGCATCTACAGAATCAAACACTAATATTCTCACTTACAGCCACTTGCTCTGTGAGTCCTATGACCTGAATAACCATCTTTTCCATATTGAAGACGTGCCACCTGCATCTTTCAGAGCATATTTAAACATTTACATTTTATGCTTATAATTTTTTGCCTGCATTGATTTTAAACACTCAGTCTTGTTTTGTTATGTAGTAAATTTAATCCAGGTTTTTAGTTGTGGCTATACCACCTTTACAAGGGTGATTTTTGTCTATCTCCAGGAGAAAAGCTGTTCTCCATGCAAGATACGCTGGGAATGGCTGCAAGACTTTTTATTTTTGTCATCATAGGAAACAATTTGGGAAACTTTAAATCGGTATAAAAGAAAAAAAGTAAAACGGAATTGGTTACCTAATTATGTCAGCATAAATTCTAGTCTTCAAACTAAGAAATTTATTCCTAAATGGTAATTATTTTAGAGAAAATATATAACAAGCGAATTTTCCCATTACGTGTTCCATATTTTAATCCATGTAATAAAATAAAATATATTCTATGTGTGCATATTTCCTGCCACCTTCCCAATGTGGTTTGGGGCATTCAAATTGCCATCAAACTTTTATATCCCTACTAGAGGCCCAGTGCATGAAATTCGTGCACTCGGGGGTAGGGGGTGTCCCTCATCCCAGTCTGTGCCCTCTCCAAGTCCGGGAGCCCTTGGGAAGCTCCTGCCACCGCCTGCTGCACTCACCAGCTGTGAGCCCGGCTTCTGGCTGAGTGGCACTCCCCCTATGGGAGCTCACTGACTACCAGGCAGGGGGCAGCTCCTGTGTTGAGCTGCCCTGGTGGTCAGTGTGCATCGTAGAGACCGGTCATTCCGCCATCAGGCTGAAACCGGCTCTCCGACATCCCCCGAGGGGGTCCCGGATTGAGAGAGGGTGCAGGCCGGGCTGAGGGATCCCACCGGTGCACAATTGGGGCAGGGGAGGGATGCAGGAGGTTGGCTGGCCAGGGAGGGACCACGGGAGGGCTCTAGGGCGTGTCCAGACCATCTCATTCAGTCCCAATCAGCCTTACCCCAGAAGCAAGCTAACCTACCGGTCAGAGCGTCTGCTCCCTGGTGGTCAGTACATGTCATAGCAAGTGGTTGAGCGACCTTAGCATATCATTAGCATATTACGCTTTGATTGGTTGAACAGATGACCAGACAACCAGACACTTACCATATTAGGCTTCTATTACATAGGATTATATCTGCAGTCTGTGCTGGGAGCTGTGTATGTATGAAGGTTTGATTCAAGTTCTCTCACCAGACACTCATGTTTTAACCACCTAGTTGTCCACCTGACCACATGTCTATTTGTCTAACCACCTATCCATCAATTTGTAAAGTAACATGTTAGGGCTTCAATACATAAGTAAGCAAAAATAGTGGCCAGTTGTATATATGAAATGCATCAATTATAAACATATTTGTGAGAAAATAATGCCGGTGTGTAAAGAGTTACACATACACATGAATGGTCACATAATCAATATCTGCAGATAAACCTGATTGCTTACTCAGCACGATGGGGTGGAAGTTCTTCTGTCTTCTTATCATCTTTCTCTCTGGGATCTTTTAAAACAAAATCAACTGGAAGAAAATAGAAAAGTTCTGATCAATAACCTTATAATAATTACAGTATGTTTACAAGCAATTGCAAAATTAATTTAATTAAAACTGTTTAAATTATATTCAGTTTTTAAAAATAAGTGATTTGTGCATTTATAATGACAAGAAAATAAACATCATGAGAAAAATCTATGATGTCTTTGTCTCTGAGAATGGTTCTTAACAATGTCCCTGTTCTTTCATTTGCAAATAATAATAACTTTTATATTACATTTTCCTTTATAGCTGTTCCACAAAAGGCAGTTCTTGTTGAATTGAAGGTCAACAACACAGAATAGTAGCAGTAGTTTCCCTTCACAGAAAAAAATACACGTATTGCCTGTTGTTCCCTTTTACTGCTTAAGAGCATAGAACAATCTTGTTATAAATCAGTAAAGTGAGCTACTTCTGCTTCTGTCTTCTGTGGTCTTTAATGTTAACTCTAATGTTCCAGCCGGTGTGTCAGGATGCTCTTTCTAAAATGCAAGCATGTCATTACCCCTCTGCCGAAAACCCTTCAGTGACTCGCCCGTGCCTCCCAGCGCTTTAAAAAGGCACATAGAGCCCATCAGATTCTACCGCCTTCCCACAATGCCCCCTTGGCTTTGGCCACCAGAAATGCTCCCCAGCCAGGGAGAGCCTTTCCTAGGCCCAGCATGCTCTCTGGTGCCTCTTCCTCACTCTCCAGGGCTCAATCCAGGTGCCTCCAGAGTCCTTCCTAACAGGCAGGCTCCGCCCCTTCTCCCTTCCAGCGCGTCCTCTGCTTCCCTCCTTATCACACTTACTACTCTGCTCTGTAATTTAGAGATTTGTGCATCTCCCTTATTACACTATGAACATTTGGGGGGCAAGAATTTGGCTCTTTATGTTTATGTCACCAGGATACCCAATAGAAGTCTTACAGGCAGTGAATGCGGCCCTCCCTGAAGGGTCCCCAGACCACTCCAAAGCATTACGCTTTCTCCAACTTGGAGCACAGCGTCAGTTATACACAATTGTTCCACAACCAGCTGGAGAGCCTTTTCAAAAAGTATAGGTTGGAAGGCCTAGTTTCCAGACATTGTAATTCAGATGGGTTCAATAGTCAGCACTTTTTAAATGATTCTGATGATTAGTCGGTCTTAGAATGTGTTGGTTCGTACTGCAAGTCAACAAACTTTTTATGTGAAGGGCCAGATTATAAGTATTTTCAACTTTGTGAGCCATAAGGTCTCTATCTCAACAACTCAACTCTGTTCTTATAGGTCAAACACAGTCATAGGAAATATGCAAATGATGGTATGCAGCTGTGTTCCAATAAAACTTTATTTACAAAAACAGACAGTGGTCTAGACTGAGCCTGTGAGCTGCAGATTGCCAATCCTTAGTCCATAGCAACAATTTTGTAATTAATCATATTCTACTTTAAGATATCAGTAATATTCACGTTAATTAAATAATTATCATTTTATAATCTTCTTCGGTTCTGTTCTTTGCTGAGGGGATATATTCATACAGATAGAAAGATCATGTTTTTAAAAAATGTTTGCCGTACTTTATTAATAAAACTTACCTACAATCTTAAGCAATGTAAGAAACAGCATACTAAATATAAGAAACAGTTACAAGTATAGGTATTAACTTTTAATTTAAAAAAATATCTTTACTGAGACATTCAAATTAGAAAGCAAAGGGGAATACTGGCTCACCTATAGACTTTTTTACACTAAGAAGATAATCTTCTCTCATTTCATCAGATAGCGTGAGGATGCTGTCGGTGAGGACTTTCAGATGCTGGGGGACCAGATTCAATACGTTCTCTAGCCAAGCATCTTCCATAGGGGCTATGTGGTCCGTATCAATCCCATGGTGAATATAATAGTAATATCTCTACATAAAGGAGCAGAAGAAATGTCGATGGATTTAGTGCTATAATAAAAGAAGTGTGTTTTCAGACATAAAACTACTGAGTAAAATTAAAGTTTGAGGAAAACAAACTATTTACAAGTAATAAAAAAGTATTTTGCACAACTCATGTAGGCATGATTTGAGATTACCTAAATTAAAAAAATATACATGATGTTGCATGAACTTTAAAGCTCTTATCTTAGTTCAGAATTCTACTATAAACCGTCAAGTGATATTACTAAATACATGACATACCGAACAAAGACCATGCAGAAGTCAAGTTCAGTGTTGTATAAATAGGTGAAAATTTGGTGTGTTTCGTTCTTTTATTGCCTATGATCAGAAGTAGATCTTAAAAATTGCAAGTGGCATAGATATACCTAAACATTCATCTCAGAAATGTAATACGACAGGGGTTAGAAAATTTCCAGTTGACCGATTAATATTCCACACTATAATTTTACAGCTGCTATTAAATATGTGCATAAAATCTTCATTTTAAGACATGATAGTATTTCTCTAATAATGTACATTTAGCTTCAATATATTTTCATTGGCTTTTAAAGTATGTCACAAAAATATTTTCAAATTTGCAATGTTAAAGTCTTTGATATTTCTATCTTTTAAAATTCTGTATTTGACATACTCGAAGAGTTATCATTTCTAAAGTAAGTTCATAGTCTTTGTAAAATGTAAATTATGTATTATGTAGTTAAGATAATTCCTCATGGAAGAATAAAGACATGTCAAGCTATACAAGACTGAGGCCAGCTTTAACCAAAGGGAGCAGGTAACTTGGGATTCTTTGATTACTGTCTCAGGTGACCAGAGACAGAATAATTTCCTCCGTGAACCCAATGGAGCAGCGTATGGAGCTCCCTATTCACTCCTCCTCCCACCGGGCTTCACAGGGAGGAGCACGGATCAACCTCAAACATCTGAACGCATCTGCAGGTGCTTCTGTTACTTCTAGTCACACGGATGAAAGGAAGCCATTACCAAGATGTCTTTCTCTATGGCAGAGGTGGTCATTTTGGGAAACGCACTTTCGTCAGGAGCAGGCACGTCTGAGAGAGCATCCTGTTGCCTACAACAATGATAAACACACTCCTTACATGTCTGTAGAAAGCAGTTACTTTTATATCAATAGATAGAAAAAGATCAGGACTGTCTTCTGTTAAATTATAAGAAAAAACGAATTGTTTAACATTTTATAAATAGTGTACGTATTTGTTTGGTGCCATATTCCTCCCAGGATATGTTCTCCTCACCCAGAGAGAGACTTGTAAGACCTGATTCAGAGGCCACATGCCGCTTTGCGGGCTTTCTCATTCTTCATCATTACTCAAAAGTCAAGGTCTCTCTTTTCTGAAATGTTGTAGGACTATGTTTGCATGATTCCTAAATTATATGTGTTTCTTTATAACATCTGACCTTAAAAGAACACGGATGGAAAAGACTTTCAATGCAGTTTTGTAGAAGACACAGAGACCTTCTTCAAAGGCCCATTTCTGATTTCTAGAGACGTGCAAGTTAACAATGCATGGCCTAGAGAAGCTCACATGCTCTTTCGTATGTATTATTAAGTGTCCATGTAATACAATGATGTTCTAGCCATAATTCAATCCAAACTCTATGCCAGATATGAGCCACATTTTGTGACTTCCCTGGGTTTCCACTGTGTGGAAAGGCATCGTTCACATCTTCGGGAAAATTCCCTTGCTCCGGGAAAGCTTCAGCCTCTCTGTCCTTGAAATGCATCACGCTCTGGATCCCAGCTTCATCTGGGATGGTTACAGGTCAGTGATGCTGTGTAACAAAATATCCCTTCCCACTAACTGTCACGTGTACCTTCATAAAGTTGGGGAAAGTAATACATGCCAAAAAATAATGGTTAATATTTCTCAGTCTAATGTTTTCCAGATGTTCGGGGGGGGGGAATTACTGTTTTAATTCTGTAGCCAGCTTAGTAATTAATTCAAGAGTAAGAGCAGAATAAAAATCTTTACAGAGATGAAAGGCTCGAGTTTACTCCCCGCAGACTTTCATGGGAAGAACCACCAAGGCAGAAGAGGGTGAAGGGGGTAGAAGGTGATGGAAGGAGACTTGACTTTGGTGATGAATACACCCCTCAATCTACAGATGATGTCTTACAGAATTGTATACCTGAGACCTATATAATTTTATTAATCAAAGTCACCCCAATAAATTCAATAGAAATGAAGAACTACTAAGGAAGAAGCTTCAGCAAAAAAAGGAACATGACTCCAGAAGTGAAGAGTGCAATGCCTATGCAATTTTCTAAGAAATCAGAAAACGTGTCAGTAAATCTAAGAAAGTGTGAACTTAAAATAAGTATGGAGAATTGGCAGAAATAAGCAATAATCACATGGAGAATGCAAAGGACGTTCAGCGGTAAGTTATAGCATTACAGGGTCTGTTTGCACTACACAGTGGAGGGGAGGGGGAGATAAAATGAATTCTAAACTTTAAAAAATTAATTACAATATATGGTTTTAAATGTTAGGGTAACCACTTAAAGAAAAAAATATATTTGATAGCTTTTAAGTCAATAGGAATAAAGGGAGAAAATTCAATTCAATAGAATTCAGGGAAAAAAGAAAAGAAAAAAGCAGCAGCAGTAACATATGGTGAATAAAAAATACAAAATAAATTGGTAGAAGCCAAGCCCACATCTATAAGACATACCAATAACTATACATGTGAATGGCATTCAATGTACTATTGAGCCCTGACCGGTCTGGCTCAGTGGATAGAGCATCGGCCTGCGGACTGAAGAGTCCCAGGTTCGATTCCAGTCAAGGGCATGTACCTTGGTTGTAGGCTCATCCCCAGTAGGGGGTGTGCAGGAGGCAGCTGATTGACGTTTCTCTCTCATCGATGCTTCTAACTCTCTATCCCTCTCCCATCCTCTCTGTAAACATTAATAAAAAATAAAATAAATGTACTATTGAGATACAGAAACTCTGAGATTAAATTTCAATAAGTCCATCCATGTCCTGTTTATAAAAGACATAACTAAAAAATGACATAAAGTGGTTAAGAGACTTCCGTTTCTTACAACACAGTCGCACAGATAATCCAAAAAACCTCCAAGTACCGTTCGCTAAATGTTGGATAATGTGTCACAAGGCTCATTCGAGTAGCAGCTGAGCTCACAAGAAAGAAAGGAAATACTCAGGAGGAGAAAGGATGCAGTGGCAAAGCTAAGCAATCGGCAAACACCTGGGGGAGGGCTGCCCTTGTGGGCACGTGGCCTTGGACTTGAACGCCCAGGTGCATCAGGAGAGAACTGTGTGGGCCGGAGGGGAATGGAGAATTCCAGCCGAGGCCCCTGCATGAAGCTGGACCTCGGTGGGTTCCAGCCTCAATCATCGTAGGACCTGAGAGGACCGGCACAGGACAGGTATTGAGAGAGATCACCCGTCGTGGCCGGGACACTGGGTAAGAAAACGCTGCTGCTGAGCTGTTCTAACCAGAGGCTGCCCCCGGGGTTCTGAGCGCTGACTTGGGTCTGAGGGGCCCCAGGGGGCTGCCCCGGGGTTCTGAGCGCTGACTTGGGTCTGAGGGGCCCCAGGGGGCTGCCCCGGGGTTCTGAGTGCTGACTTGGGTCTGAGGGGCCCCAGGGGGCTGCCCCGGGGTTCTGAGTGCTGACTTGGGTCTGAGGGGCCCCAGGGGGCTGCCCCCGGGGTTCTGAGCACTGACTTGGGTCTGAGGGGCCCCAGGGGGCTGCATAGAGGAAAGTGCCCCGAGGGAGTCAAACTGCTAACATCCTTGTGGCGCCTCCAGACACAGACTCCAGGCCACTCTCCGGAGGCACACGCCACAGTCCCGCGTCACAAGGTGCCCCCTGTCCTCCCTTCAGGAGGGGCATCCCACCACCGAAGTGCCACGGGGTCTGGGCAAGCCACGTGTCCACACACTCGACGGTCTCACAAATGGCAGGGTGGCACGCCGCCGTGAGAGTCATGATGAAAGAAAGAAAGAGGGTGTGAGGACCAGAGGGAGCTGTGAGGAAACAGCCAAGAGGGGCTCCTGGCGCGCACCTGCGCTGCTCTCCACGCGCACAGCTGAACCCCGGCAGCCACCCCCGGCCCTGCTCCTGCTGCTGCTCACGCCACCACCTCCTGCCTTTCCTCCAGGAGACCCACCATGCACAGGGGTCACCACATCGCCTGAGCCAAGAGATGGGGAAACAACCTCCCAAAGATGAGGGAGAATCACTGACCGGCTGCCTCCTGCAGGCCCCGCACTGGGGATCAAGCCCCTCCACCCAAGCAGGTGCCCTGACCGGGAATCTAACCGTGACCTCCTGGTTCACCGGTGGATGCTCAAGCACGGAGCCACCCCAGCTTGTATTTTTAGATTAAAAGTTTCTGGGGGCTCCACAGAGGACGACACATAGGGGTTCGCGCGCAGCCCTTACATGATGACGTTCACCAGGGTGCTGCGGAAGTTTTCTCGTTCCTTGTGTGGGGATTTGGTCTTGGCTTTGGAAGTGGATGGGCCAGCGCGACTGTCATCGATTTGGTCGAGCAGAGTGCCCTTTCTTCCAAACTGTTCCATGTATTCGGCTAAAGTTTTAAAAAGCGTAAGTTAGTCATCGAAAAAGGAAGCTGAAACATTAAAACTACATGCGGTAAGTTCTCACGTTACCGTAAGTAGAATTAATTTTTCTTTCGCTATCAGGAAGTTAACTACTCTTGTTTTATGTCATCGTAACAAAAGCCACTGACTATTTCAAGATTATTCAATGAATTTCTTTTATATTTTGAATAATATGCTAATAAACTCAAATTTTCAATTACACGTCCATTGGACCTTCTTAAAGAGAAAAAAATTAAAATGATGATAAAAAACAGAATACAAAACTATTTCAGAAAACTTAAAGATCCACGATGAAAAAATGTTAGTATTCAATGTAACCTGGCGAATCAAAGCAAGAACAAATACTAGAATGACTAATTTGGAAATAATGTCTACAACTTATTGAAACGCCCTCTTAGAAAAAAGGTCATAGTCTTTGATGCAGAGGCAAATTCTGACTACAATAAGTCAAAGCTTTATTATAAACACCTCCATTCCTAAAATATCAGTTTTTCTAACATTTACAACAGCCTAAACTAGCTAACAACTGGGATCAATCATTCTCTGAAGGAAAACATTTGAGATCAATTTGGCTAAAGGTTTGATTTAAAGGTTATTTCAATCCTGCAACCTCACTACTCTATTAGCTAAACGTCATGTGCCTTTTTTCTCTAGAAATTTCCCTTCAATCTGAGTTTGACGATTGGCGCCCTTACCATACGACTGCTCATTCTTCACGCTGAACGGCTCGGGGATCTCCTCCTCCTGCTTGATGTTCAGATGGAAGGACGGGGCCGCCTCCTGCCACTGCGGCTTCGTGCTCACCTGCGAGGCGACAGGCAGACAGCAGCAGTGACACAAGAGGCGAGAAGACACTCCCCCCGTGGAATGCACGCGTGTTTGTAAACACAGACGCTTTCTCCACGGAGTCACATACACAGAGACCGAGCGGGGATGGTGGCTGCCAGGAGCTGGGGACGGAGAACGGGGAGGGATGGTTTCCTGGGGGACGGTTCACTGTGGGAAGACGGAAGAGTTCTGGGACTGGATGGTGGTGGTGGTTGCACAGCGATGTGAACATGCTTAATGCCAGTGAGCTGCAGTTCAATGTAAAAGACGGTAAATTTCATGGGTGCACGTTTCATCACAGTTCTGAAGCCACAGTGTGTGCATCCAGCCTCCACTGAGGTTCCGCTTCCAGGAGGCACAAGAGCATAGCCCAGTGATGGCGAACCTTTTGAGCTCGGCGTGTCAGCATTTTGAAAAACCCTAACTTAACTCTGGTGCCGTGTCACATAGAGAAATTTTTTGATCTTGGCAACCATAGTAAAACAAAGGCTTCTATTTTTGATATTTATTTTATATATTTAAATGCCATTTAACAAAGAAAAATCAACCAAAAAAATGAGTTCACGTGTCACCTCTGACACGCGTGTCATAGGTTCACCATCACTGGCATAGCCCCATGGCATTGAACTCAACGTGGTACCTCGATGGTAAAGCTCATTACGGTCAAGGCCAATGCGGTACTGTTTTCAGCATTATCGGCTGGACGTGTCTACAGCGGCCTCTTCCAACGGGGAGTGACAATGAAAGAAAGGAGGGGGCACCTGAGCACCCCTGGCTGGCACTGCCCGCCGGAAGCCACATCTCAAGGCTCCTCACGTCACCCCTGCTCACACTCACACTCACACTCACACTCAGCAGCTGAGGCTGGGGAGCCACCCACCCCCTCAGGTCACAGAGCCATGATGGCCCAGTGGCACCGGGGGCCTCATTTCCTGACCCCAACGCCGATGTCCTGTCTGCGTGTCCATCTTAGAAGTTCTCTCACCCAGGTCAGTGGTCAGCAAACTGCGGCTCACGAGCCACATGCGGCTCTTTGGCCCCTTGAGTGTGGCTTTTCCACAAAATACCGACTTCTGCGCATGGGGCCACGAAGTTTCAATCGCACTGTATGTGCGCCCGCACGTGGTATTTTGTGGAAGAGCCACACTCAAGGGGCCAAAGAGCAGCATGTGGCTCGTGAGTTGCAGTTTGCTGACCACTGACCAAGGTCATTCAAATGCTCCATGCAGAAGTAGGAAATCATTTTTTTATAGTTACTTCACTAAGGTGGTCCTTTTTCCTAATATGTGGACCTCAGAGCATTCCTCCACCAGAAAGTAATCAAATGGAGCACAGAATTCAAAACCAGAGGCTTCGTTTCTTACGAGTTTGAAAACCAACAAGCGTTTTTAAAGGGCCCACATGCCAGGAGAGCGTGTAGGGGACGTACCGTGGCCAGCTGCGGCAGAAGCCTTGCTGGGAACTTGCCTTTGTCTTTGTCTTTTTCTTTGCTGGCTGGTTTCTCCTGCGTGAAAAAGATGGTGGGGGAAACTTTACTCTGTTAATGCTAACATGTATTCACTCAACCAACTCTTCAGCCCTCTACTATTAAGTAAAGCACATACTATCTAAAACAGTCGAAGATATACTTTCTTACTCTTTAAATTCTCAAAGTCTGCCTTGGAACTGCTTTCTGTGCAGCAAGGAAAGAAGTAAAACGGGTAGGTACCCAGCAATGCTAACCAGAGAGCTTTAAAACGTGTGTGAAGCCCTTTATCCGTCCCTTTACCTTCTGGGAGTTTCTCTGAGCCCAGGCAGCGCCCAGGGCTCACTGGGCCCCACTCCCTGCTCCTGCACCGACATCACTCTTGTCCTGTTCGCACCCAGAATGCCCTCCTTCCTAAGCCGCCAGCCAGTCAGGGTAACACACCCTCGGTCGCCCTAAGTAGCTCCTGCACTTTTGGGCCACAAGTTGCCCCCAGGTGGGAGGAAGCGTGCTGAGGACTGTGCGTCGTGCTTTTTGCCAGTTGTGATGTATGGCCTCGCAGCTCCGACTCGACCTCTCCTGCCCTCCTTTGTGATTCCTGAGCAGAACCCGCAACCTCTCTCCTGCAGCGCGTTTCTCCTTTGTCCTACGGGGCGGGGCGGGGGCGGGGGACATCTCTGGAGCAACCCTCCCCCCTGCCCCCGTGTGGGATGAGAGCTGATGGGTAGATGCTACCCCGTCACCGCCACGTAGACATTCCAGAAAGTACTCTCTAGCTCAGTGATGGCGAACCTTTTGAGCTCGGCGTGTCAGCATTTTGAAAAACCCTAACTTAACTCTGGTGCCGTGTCACATAGAGAAATTTGCTGAAACCGGTTTGGCTCAGTGGATAGAGCGTCGGCCTGCGGACTGAAAGGTCCCAGGTTCGATTCCGGTCAAGGGCATGTACCTGGGTTGCGGGCACATCCCCAGTAGGAGATGTGCAGGAGGCAGCTGATCGATGTTTCTAACTCTCTATCTCTCTCCCTTCCTCTCTGTAAAAAATCAATAACATATATTTAAAAAAAAAAAAGAAATTTTTTGGTATTTGCAACCATAGTAAAACAAAGACTTATATTTTTGATATTTATTTTATATATTTAAATGCCATTTAACAAAGAAAAATCAACCAAAAAAAAAAAAATGAGTTCGCGCGTCAGAGGTGTCAGAGGTTCGCCATCACTGCTCTAGCTCCTCAGAGGCCACGGCAGGACCAGGCCAGCTGCCTGGGGTGACCACCAACCTGGCAACACCCCGGTACCAGCCTCCCTTCTTCCTGGGTTCACTCTCCCCCAGCCCAGGCCCCTGCTCCCGGCCACCCCCCAAAACAGGGAGCTCACAGCCCTCTCCAGGCCCCTCTCCCACTCGGAAACAAGCAGAGGCAACTTAAAACTCAGCGGCCTGCCCACCGTCTTCCCGCTCCCTCCTTCTCCAGGAAGGAGTCCGGGTGGGGGAGGGCCGTGAGGAGGGTGCACAGGGACTGCGAGGGGGGCCACCGGCCCACAGCGGCTGGAGGCGCGAGCTGGCCGCCTTGGTTTCAAGGTCAGGGATGACCTGCAGCAGCATGAGGTCTGCGATGACGGTCACTCAGGTCTTAACCACGATGGGGAACTTTTACTCAAGTACAAACCTTCATATTCAAATGGAAAATTGTTATTCACTAGGTTATTTTTTAATATTGTAAAAATATGATTTATCTTAAAAGACATAAAACCCAAAGGATATGGAAGGAAAATTGCTAGCTACAGTTAAATATGAACACAGCATAAGGTTTAAATCAGCCGACAAAAACATTTTAGATAATTATATGCCTCATTGGCTAGAAAAGAGTATTCATCTCAGCCACTGAATATTTTACTCAGTAAATTTAAATTTAGATGACATTTCTATACCTATATCCTAGTAACATTAAAAAAAGAAACTAACAGTGACTTTTTTCAGTTTTAAAATGTGTTAAGTTCTTAAAGAGAAAAAGTCTGTCCCGTTTCAGGTCTTTGCCTCTTTCAAAAAATTTTAATATATATTAATGATTTCAGAGAGGAAGGGAGAGGGAGAGGAAGATAGAACATCAATGATGAGAGAGAATCATTGATCGGCTATCAGGTCTTTGTCTTTTAAGTTAGCAAACTTAAATAGATCTTTGCAGAAATAACAAAAAGGATTATATCACTTCATTTTATAGAACAGGGTGCAATAATCTTGGCAGTAGCAATACAAACAGGTTCACAGTTACAACACGTACTTTGATGTTGAGGGACATTCGCCTGAACATTTTTCAGTCAAGTTTTTTTAAGCTGAAAGAATCTTACGTTTCAAATGATTAGAAATAGTTTCTGCAGGAAGCAAGGTAGATTCCATGGTATAGCTCATTCCGAGCTTTTAAAATACGTCGCAAAACAAATTGCATTGAACTTCCACTTAAGCTCAACTTCCAGGAACCACCAGCGTGTGGCTCGATGGCATTGAACTCAACATAATTGTTAAACAGTCATTTTTATTGCAGTAAAACCTTACTTTTCCAGCACTCTACCAACTGAAAGTGTTTAACGAGACAATAATTCAAAGTCAAAATAATGGAAAAGGCTGCACCCCAGCATTTCAATGCTGGGAGAGACGTCTCAGAGATCACAGATCACCAAACCCACGCCTGTCCTTCTCAGACCAGACATGAGGGCTCAGAGAGCCCAGTGGCTCCCAACAGTCACAGAGACAAGACTGTACCCCAAGTCGTTTCCTGACTCCAACACTGCTCCTGCTAGACCTCTTCAAAATTCGCTTATTCAGGATACTCAAATGTTCTGTACATCCTAGGACATTGTATCTTATACTTCATTTATTAAGATTATTATTTTTCCTAAGATATGTACTTCATAGTTGCTCTCTACCAGAAAAATATTTGCAAGTTTGAAAACTGGTACACAACATGATTATAAAAGCAAGAAAGTGTGATGATAATTGGTAAATTACCATAGATGACTGTGGCAAAAATCTTAGTGGTATCTTGGATTTTTCTTTGCTGGGTGATTTATCCTGCATGAAAAACATAAAAAACAAAACTGTTCACTCTGTTAATGCTAAAATTGATGAACTCAACGAAATTCTACAGCGTCTAATATAAAGTAAAAAACATATCATCCAAAATGTTCTAAAACATACCATATTTACAGATGGTATGATATTGTGTACAGAAAAGCAAAAGGAATCCACAGAAAATATTAGCGCTAACGAATGAGTTCAGCAAGGCTGCAGGACATAAGATCGAGACACAAAAATTACTTGTATTTCTATACACTAGCAATGAACAATACAACACTTGTGGGAAGCAAATTCATTTATAACAGCATTGGAAAGGATAAAATACTTAGGAATACATTTAACAAAAGAAGTGCAAGACTTAAAAATGACAGCTATAAGATATTACTGAGAGAAACTTAAAAAGGCCTTAATAAATGAAAAGCCATCCCTTGTTCGTGGATTGGAAGACTAATATTAAGATGCAATAGTTCTCCCATAATCTACAGATTCAACACACTCTCTATCAAAATCCAAACGACTTCTTTTTTTTATTTTGGAAATTAACAGGTTGATCATAAAATTCACATGAAAATGAAAGAAACCCAGAACAGCCCAACAATCTTGGAAAAGGAGAACAAATTTGGCAGACGCACACTTCTACATTTCACAACTTAATACAAAGCTGTAGTAATAAAGACAGCATAAGAATAAACGTATAGCCCTAACCGGTTTGGCTCAGTGGATAGAGCATCGGCCTGCGGACTCAAGGGTCCCAGGTTCGATTCCGGTCAAGGGCATGTACCTTGGTTGTGGGCACATCCCTGGTACTGGGTGTGCAGGAGGCAGCTGATCGATGTTTCTCTCTCATCGATGTTTCTAACTCTCTATCCCTCTCCCTTCCTCTCTGTAAAAAATCAATAAAAAATATTTTTTAAAAAAGAAAAAAAAGAATAAACGTATAGATCCAAGGAATAGAATTGGGAGTTCAGAAACACACACATGCATTTATGGGCAACGGATTTTCGACAAGGGTGCCAAGACGAGTCTGTGGGGAGTTGGTCCTATCTCCTGAGAATTTATCTGAACCTGATTAGCATCCAGAGTGGACTCAGCCCCACCACCCCTCTCCTTGGTAAAACTCCCCCCCACAGCCCTCCACTTCCTAAGGTGACCATGCATTCATGTCAACGCACTCTCAAATTGCTGTGAGTGACGTTTGTACTTTCAGAGTAAGTTTTAGAGAAGAATGCCTTTCCCTTCTTTGAGGTAGAGATGATACTTCTCTGGTAGGAATCCCACCTCGGTAAGAAGCAGCCCTGCTGAGAATGGTGTTTCGACTTCTAAAACAGATCACACGAATTGTGCTTTGGACACTTGGCAATTTCTTGCAGCTCATCATCAAATCTATGTCTTTGCCCTCCTTGGTGATCCTGGACGAAGACTCCATAAACATTTCTCCAGCCGGCACAATGTTTAGAGAGGGTTCAAAAAGAGACGGTCGGAGGAAGGGAACTTTCTTCCTGGGCACAGTGCTTTCCTCCTGGCTTCCAGGGTGTGGCTGCCCATGGTCAGCATCCTTGCCGGTGGGCACCTGCCCACCCTGTGGCCTGTGGCAGACCCAGTGGCAGGCACCCTCCAGCAGGGGTCGCTGTTACCCATCAGGACAGCTTTCCAGCAGGTCTCCCTGGCATCACGCAGGGAACCCCCTTTTAAATTTTCCTGCAGGCAGGCAGGTGGTTTTCTCCCCTCCCACATTAATTCTTCCCTCACTGGTTTTCATCGCTGTAGAATACGCTCTGCCTTAGGAATATAATGCAATTTATCCACTCCATTCCCTTGTCAGGTTTCTCCATTACAAAAGATGGTTCAATACATGTCTGTTGGCATACACACATATTTACTGGATCACACACACATCCATACAGTGTGTGAAGGTATATGCATATAATAAAAACGCATGGGTGCCTATCTGTTTTTGTGCTTTTATGTAATTCCATTGGCATCCTTGTCTATCTGTAAACTGTATCATGTTGTCTAAATTACTAGGATTTCACAATAACTCTTGAAATCTATAAGGCAACTCTCTCTCTTTGCTATTCTAAAAAAATTATGCATAGTCTTGACCTTTAGTCTACCATGTGAATTTCATTGCATGAGAGTTTTTGGAATTTTAATACAAACATATTGACTTTCTAGAAGAACTTGGAGAAAACTGACATTATAATAGTGTTGACTCTTATCCTTCATGAGTACATTTCTTTCTTTATTCAGATCCTAAAGTATACCCTTCAAGAACATTTTATAACAGTCTTCACGAGTGCCTTATACCTCTCTGGTTACACTTATTCTAACAAAGAATTTGGATGGAAAATGCATTACAGAATCCAAACAACTGACTTAAAAACTTTTAATCCCAATGGATTTTTTTGGCGCATTATGTAATTTATTTAGTAAATTTATCTTTACTGTTGAAAGTATTACAGATGTCCCCTTCTCTCCCCATTGACCCCTCTCAGCCTGCACCTGCCCTCACCCCCCCAGGCCTTCACCACACCATTGTGTCCATGGGTTAAGCATATACGCACATAAATTCTTTGGTTAATCTCTCCCCACCCACCCCCGCCTTCCCTCTGAGATTCAGCGGTCTGTCCCACGTGTCTGTGGATCTATTTTGTTCGTCCGTTCGTTTTGTTCTTTAGACGTTTCAGCGGGGAGATGTCTCTGAAGCCGCATCTACTTGTAGTAACGTCCATGATGTTTCCTGTTTGCCGCAGTCACAGCTGCACATTTTTCTTCCTGCTCTGTGGCTGGAAGGCTGCGTGCTATGTTGGGGCATCAGATGGGTTCCAGCCCCCTGGCTTCTGGCAGGGACTAAGCAAGGAGAGGCACCAGAGGAGGAGGCCAGAGAGCGAGAGAGCAGGAGGAGTAAGAGTCTAGGCTGCTTCTTTCCTGGTACTCCCGGTTCCCCATCTTCCTGACAGTGGCTGACCTCCTCCAGTGCTCAGCCCCCGCCAGGGAGCCCCCATTCCAAGCCCCAGCCCTCATTCACGAGGGTGGGGTTCATTTTCTTTGGCCGGTGAGTCCTAGGCGTGGCAATGGCTTGCAATTGCTATGAATCCTTCAATGCCTCCTCATGCTTGCTGGTTCCTTCCTTGGCCTTGCCCACACCTCAGCAAATGGTCTCCTTGCAGATCTTCTTCAAGTAAGTCCTTTTGAATACGCATCGTTCCTGCTTGGATCCTCACTGGTGTGAGTTGACATTACCAACATCAAACTAGCTGAAGAATCCAGGTGTTCCTTAAGTAGTCTGGTTTTGCATCTAATTTTTTTTTGTGTGCTTATTTTGAACTACTTGCCTATAGGAAGGGACATTGCAAACCTCATATAATCCAGATTTGACCACTCTCATCAAATGACCAGAATCTGTCTTCAACTGAAACCCAAAATGCTTCATTTTATAACTAATTTTAAAAATGAGACGAGCAGTTGTAAAAGACATATGTATTTTAAATACCTAAGAACTCAGACGGATAATTCTGAGAAATGCCTCATCACCACCTTCCACGAGTGAGATGAATATGCTCAGATCTCCTTCAGCAAATACGAATTAGCACCTGCGCACTTCTTCAAACTAAATGAGCACATGAGTAACCATCCCATAAAATGGCATTTCTAAAATTTAATCCATTCCATGTTTTTAGGTTAAAATATAAAAACTTGCATTCTTTCAAAAGGACAGCTACACTCAAAATTAGCATAAATGAGAGCATCAAGAGTTTTAAAATTACAGATCAACCAAAGCAGTGAGAGGGGGCCCTCTGCTGTTTGAGAATAGTATCCTGAAGACAGAGAGGATCCTCCATGGCTCAGGCCCATTCTTACAGGATCCCACCGCCTCTCAAAGAAATGCAGGTCCTTTGGGAGGAGGGGAAAGGGGTGATGGTGTCATTTCTAAACATTACTTCTATTAAAATAAAGCAAAACTTAAAACGTAGCTGCCAACAAGCTTATAATGGATTTTTTTTCATTGTAAATGGGTCAGTTACGGGCTTTGTGAAATAATAGCTATTCAGAAATACCATTGCAAATGTGGTAAACATGTGTTGTAAATTTTAACAACGTAGAATATGATTCAAGATCAGGCCCAAGACTGAAATGGGCATCAAGCAAATAAGTTGCTTGAATGTGTATTGATGGTGATGGTGACAAATTCTTTAAGGGACTTTAGTTGCAATACCACATGGAAAAAGGCAGCACAGTCTATTCATCTAATTGCTTCGTTTCCAAATAACCTGTATCTCAATTTTTTTGGTTGTTTGTTTATTCTTTTACTAGTCATGGTAAACGGTAGGTGGATCTGTTTCTTAGCTCTTGATGTATCACACGTTTCAATAAAATGAAAACAAATTTTCTTCATCAGTTAGGCATTAACTACTCATTTGATCAATTAGTGTCTTTTCTGGTTAGTAATCTACAACCCAGTGGAGAGGGGAATAAATCACCTTTTAACACCATCTCCACAATAAACTCCAAGACAACAAAACATGATGAAGCATTGAAAAGAATTATAGTTTGGTGTCAAAACCAAGGAGCTCAGCAAAAGCTGGAGGCTTAAAGGCAATTGTTTCCTACTCAGGTTGCTCAGGGGCCTTTTCCATAGTCATCTTAGAGAGCTGGAGTTGTTTTTAGCCAGAGTAATGCCCAGGCTTAAGGCCTTCCCATTCTGTTCTGGCATTCAAAAGGTTCTTTCGTTTACTGTTGCTCTTAAATTCAATAGAGTTCTGAAATGTACCCATTGCCACATGCATCTTTTATTACTCTGCCATGGGGATGTTTTCCTAAGAAAATAAATTTCCACTTACCACTTACCAAACCCTTTCTTTCACGTGTGGTGTGGTATGGTATGTACAGTGGTTACCAACATGGGGCACATGCCCCACAGGGGGGCAATTTGATTTTTAAGGTGGGCAATTGAAGCATGGGATATTAACAGTGATTTTTTTTTTTTGCATTTCTTATGGTTTTAGGAG